GAAACGTCAGCAATTGTGTTCTAATAAATTCTATATTAACAACCTCGTGTCTGCTTATTGATGAAAAACATTGAATTATAGCAAAACATTTTGCTGGCTTTAAAGAGTATAAAACCCTAATGAAACTACTTCACCTTCATGAAAGATGTAAAAAGAAACGTAACCGCAGTATATTTTTTTTTACTACACTGCGACTAGAACAAAGACTGACTGTAGGTCTTAGATGAAATTTGAAAATGTGATAAAATCCTATAAAATTATCCAGAACAAAACGACATGCCTTCACAATATCAGAAAGGAATAATGATAAGAATTTGTCAAAAGTAAGAGATACAGAAAACTTAACATCTAAGAATATAAGGTATTTCAAAACATGCCTGGCGATTACTTTTGGATCAGCAGTGTCTAAAGGCTCGATGATGTCTTCAGCTCCTTCCCACCCACCAAAAATATCTACTCCATTTGTTTCAATGTCGGTGAAACATTCCGCGATGTAAAGATTAATTACCCTAAAATATTTTTTAGATCAAACTAGACAACTTAAAGCCACGAAAGTCGATCTGCCAACCTATCAATAATAAACCGTGCACATTCAAAACGATTTTTTTCTTCACTCCATTCGATTCGTGAGGTTTCGCGGATACAGTATTCAAGGAACTTGTCGAGATATACCTAAAAACGGTGCGACCCATAATATTAAGCGAAATCAACTTAAAAACAATCAAATAACTTAAAACTTATTGCTCATTTTCAAACGTCACACTACTATGAAAAAAGAACAATAGAGTGAAATACAACAAAAGGAGGGAAAAAATGCGTTGCAGAAGCGTTAAGAACTAGCACTAATTCCCAAGTGAAACGCTAGTCTGTGTAGCTATACTCGGTAAAGAGGCTATATTTACGAAAACTACTAATAACAATTCTGACAACTCTGGTTCCCTTCTTATCTCCCGCTAAAACATACAGTTAACCAAAAACAGTATCGGCTCTGCCCTTCAATTAAACTTTATGCTCCGTTTTCAAACAAGTTTAATGCCTTTCAAACATTGCCTTTGCTTGTATGTTCAGTTTGTGCCACTGAAATAAGTATGAGAGAAGCAAACTCAAGCAATTTGCTTGCACGGATTCAAGTATGGCCGTAGATACCACAAATTTAGTCAACAGACTGGTCAACAAAGGCTTATTCCAAAGATTATGGTGATGGCACCCTTGAAGATGATATGATCCGTTTCCACAGAAGGTAAGCACTTGAAAAGTCTGCACGAGATTAACGCAGAATTTTTCCGAGCAAAAAGCTAGGTGCCAGTCTTAATAGAACTACAACAAAAATTCTGCAAATGGATACTATGTAAGCCGAACCAAAAGCAACGAAATCATCATTCAGATTTTTTTTCGCTTCTTTGGCGAATAAAAACGCGCCTTTCATGATGACATCATGACGTACAACGAAAAACCTTTCGAGTCATCAAAAGCAGTGAAACTTCTACAAAGTCGAATTTAAATCAACAACTTATAACAACTTTTTTCACGGGTTCATGTAGTCAAAAATTTTACCGTAACAGGAATAGATAAACTTGTAGGAGAAAAAACTATGGGATGAAATATCCGTTCTTGAAACTGAAACTGTTTTAAAAAAAAACGAAATTTTCCCAGGCAACCCTAAAAACAGTGCATTACGTAGAAAAATTTTAAACAAAACTTAGGTACATCAGCGAAAAAATTCCCGTTGACTATGGAAGGCTTAGATTATATACTTCAGCGGACATCTGTGATTGAAGGATATTGCTTAAGCAATAGGCAATCTACACAGAATTCCGACCTAATGCTGGTATTCGAAAGCGATTTTTTACGCTAATAATGCAACTAATGGAATACTACGGCAAGAAAAAATTAATACTTGAAGCATCTGTGCGCGCTCCTTTGCATTAGACACCGGTGTACCTGGTGCTGGAGGTGAGCCCATATTACGATCTGACCAATGAGTTGTTCCTGGGGTAGAATTAATTACAAACAGATTTAGTAATTCAGTTTCAAAAGCAAAGAGCAAACCAGCAGAATGGCAGTACTCCTGCAGTACCAATTCTGAGTTTTGGCCATCGCTCAAGGGAAAGTAAGGCAGCAAACATTGAAACACACGATCTAGGTCTTGGGTAGCCTGAAACTATTTGAGTCGTTTAGGTATACTATCTGTTAACACTAATAATAGTGATGAAGCTATCTTGAATGGAAAAACCACTACCACTGACCTTACCAAATACTCCAAGACTCTGGTAGAAGATGAGAAACAATCTGATTGCGATTTTTCGTATGGCAAGCAAGTTACGAGGATACAATACCTTCTTTAGAAGCGCTTCGATAGCATGCCGCTGCCAGCCTAGTTATTTTCATTAATCTACAACTAGTGCAAAAAATACTACTTCATTGCATACCATTCCCAACAAGCTCTGGTGCAAAGCAGAGTACTTGCTCCAGAGTCCACAGACCACTTTCACCTTCGACAGCACCTTGTGGGTTTGCCACAATGTCAGCCGACAAAAGTAGTTCATCCACTAAGTGGAATGTTTCAAAACTATGTTCCTCTATAAGCTGACGCTTTTCCTGCAATAAATCCACGTCAATGCAACTGAAAATTGAGCCGACAAAGCAATTACCTAATGGAAAATTCCACACCTGAGTAGATAACGAATCTAGCAGATTCTTTAAATGCTTCACTCGACTGATGTTGTCCCTGAATGGTTAATAAAGGCGTAATATTCCATGATGAATGAGAAAAGGGAAGCGTAAGATAAAATCGACTGTTTCGATTTTTACAGAAAAAAAACTAATACAATGTAACATGGCTGGGGCTCAATTTGGATATAAAAAGTCCTGCAAACGAATTTACGAAAGGAATGCTCTACCGAGTGTAGGAACCTCATAAGCCAGTAATGAGGTTTTACTCTCCAAAGGCTATCATAAATTTAAAATAACACCATTAAAAAGGGCGCGACAGCTAAACCTTGACATGTCCGTGAAACGATGAAGACTTCCCATCAAATCTGACGACTTGTTCGCCTTTCTAGCAAACATCGCTGTTCGGCACGTGGTCGCAAGTCCTGCGTCCTAGAGTTTCCAAGAACTTCCTCAATGAACTACGGCCCTTAAGATATCCACGACACCAATTAACTTGTAGTATATGGAGATTTTAACTACGAGATCAAACATTTTCAACATTTAGTAGAATAAATATCCTTTTAAATAGGTAAACGTTCTAGGTGAACCAATGACCACATATAGGTGGAGACGTATAGAACGTACCGTCAAAAAGTGCAAAACCAATAACAAGAAACGCTACAACAACTAGAGACTACTAGGGATACAAGTAGAGAACTTCACACAGATCGAGCCTATTTTATGCAATCATTGAAGTTACGGAATATCGGTTTTCGGAAAAAAAAGCATGGAAGTATATATAAACCTCATTCATAATATAAACATGAAATGAACATAACAGCATGTAACTTCCGAACAGAACGAATATTTGTCTTTAAAATCGAAAACTCAAAAATTCGAAACCAGACTTCAAGAAAACCTCCAACTGATGTGGTTGTACCACGACCTTCTATTTGAAAGAAAACAATCTATTTAATCAATTCGTAGAGAAAGCTAACCATGGGAAAACAAAATTCATTTTATCACTTCACAATAGACTACCTTAAAGGAACATCGGATATACACAAAGATGTTATAGGCTTCGTGTGGCCATCATACTTCATCACTACTTGCTCAGAGTCCATATCCCACAATTTAATGCGATTGTCCGATCCACCAGTGAACAACACTCTAGAATAGTGAATAATGCAATATAACGAATCGGTATAAAAACTGAAGAAACTTATGTCATTAGTGCACTCGATTTTATTGTAATTATAGTAATTTCCACATTGCTGACAGAGCTGATGACATATACTTCCAGACATGTTGATCGAGGAAGAACAAAGGGAATATAGGAGTTTTACCAATTAAAAAGGATAAAGTTCTCGGCATTCATCAATCCCTAAGAGATACACCATGTATCCAACTTCATTACGCATCGTTGGAGGTGATTGAGTGCATATATTTGAGTGACTGGCCTTTACAATGATTCGCGGTGGCTTCCCGACGTATCGAACCAGTGCTGCCATCTTCCCAGACAACTCTGGTACCAACCTGCCGACCCCGGAATGATAGAAGACTCGGTGAGCCATGGGCGGGAGGATCGACCCCACGTGTATCACAGAGCGTCTCCGAACAGTGCGCCACACGCCCCGTTAACAACTTCGCCGCTTATATTCGTAAAATTGCTCAGTATAGAAACTGCGTTTTTTGTCCTCTTTAAAGCACTGCTTACCTAGTATCCTATTTTTCGTCCCATGCTTGATTTCGTGTAGCTGCCGTATCTAATTCACATATAATTTGTCTTAGCACGCTCTATGAATTGAAACCAATCCATTCCGACCGATCCACGTCCATCATGTACCAGTCATATACACCATCCTCGTTAGCAACAGTCTGTATTACACTATAAGTACAAACGGATAGCAATCCCCGCGGGAATCAGGGACATCTTAGTATACTCCTCATGAGTTAAACTTTTGGTAACTTCGCACCCTTCTCAGCAGAAACAGTCTCTGTGATCAGACGAACAAAATCGTCTGAACAACAGTTTATTCTTTCTAAGTGTAGAGAATAAATTTTCTCGTCCGAAAACTAGTGTGTTAGTAAACTGCCAACTGGATAGTAAACTACAGCAAAAACCTCTGTGTAGTAGAACGGCCCAAAAAGAGAATAATTTGATACCAATCCTCGCTGGCCGATGTCTTTCCATGTATGAGCGGAACCGATTCAAGTCGGACTCTACATTTTAGTGCTCACAGTGTGGCGACAGCACGCTCTGATTTCGACACAGTCAGCAACCAATAAATAGTCAGACGTAGTCAATAGTCATGCAGTAAACCGAATATCACGTGTTTTCGCACATGTATTAACTAATTTCAAAAAACTTTACTGAAATCTCATTTACCGCGAGTCACAAGTGAAAGCTGAATCCCAGTTCCAGTCACAACCAGCATCCATACTTGCTTTTAATGAATGGTCGCGGGCGTCCAGTACATGAATCATGTTGTCAGAACCTGTAGTGACAAGCACCTGACCGTCTGGCGAATATCTAAACAAAAATATGGCAAAACACTGTCAACCTTCGATACCAACTACTGTGCGACATACTAGCGAAGACGAGAGTGGTGAATCAGAAATGCAATGATAATGATTTCCTAGCACATAGTGAAATAATACTTTTCTAAACCGTACGAATAGTCAATACATTTCTTCACAGAGTTCAGTTTACATGAGGCTGTTACAGAAATTTATCTGGACACCGTTTTGGTGGCTTCGCCTTTTTCAGAACCGGATTAATCCAAATCGATTGTCCTCGGCTGTCCATTCTTGGATTAATCGAATAGACTAGACTCGGATCAATTCGACTTTGACAAAGGCGAAAGTGCCGAACCGTTAGCCGAACAAACATTTGTATCAACCTAGTGTAAACTGAACAATCCAAAGAAGTAAAACGATGACGACTTCACCTTTATCTTTCTTTATCACATAAATGTCTATTCCACTTTCAATTCACCATTTTGATGAGAAAGTGAAGGTGTATTGGCTTTTTACAATAAATTGCAAAGCCCAATATATCCCTTAGATACGCCAACAAGCCTTTTTTTTTCAATATAATCCATATTTCACACCTACTATGCGAATCCCAGCACTTTAAGCATTTGATTTGTTTCCTCGAATCCACCATCTACGAAGGTCTTCGGACTCCTCCGCACGTGGGTTCCACTGATTCTTGAGGACTGTCGTCTTCTTTATGAATGCAGTTGAATGCCTGTCGAGTTGACAGCTTTGCAACAATTAGATAGCCGCGTTCGAGCGTTAGCTTTTGATCTGCAGAAAGAGAACGAGTGAAATATCCCCAGACAGGTCTGATACCAACCAGTAAGAACGAGAGGCTTAGTGAACCCGGTGCGAGGTCGAACCAGTACCGTGCTCGTGACCATCGCCATCACTATTACTATGCTAACAACCCTGCCATGGATTTTAAATCACAGTAAAAAAGAGCGTTTTCCCATCTTCTAATATATACGTTTATAAATATATACATGTATATAGAGGGATAAATAAGTAGATACATAAATGTATGTACATATATACATACATTTTAGTGGTGCCAAAACAATTTCACTTTCTATTATTTCGTATTCAACGCAATTTCCATCGTTTTTTCTTGCTCTGACCTCAATTCTGTAACGAAAATTTGTCGCAAATTTTGCGCTGATTTCACTTTCTCTTCCTAATCTGGTTGCTCTAACAGCTTACCGTGCCCTCATGGTGGAAGTGTTCCCGAATATCAAAATGCGATGGGGTTTTCTAAGCTCACAAGTCCGTCTTTTCTATCCAGAAACATGGCAAAAACTAACCCTTTGAAAATCACTGTCATTATGCTAGCAACCTAGTCTCAAAGTGACAAATGTCTTTCGGGTCCATTACAGCATGCGACTGTCAGTACGACCTGGTAACGCACTAACAAGATGATTACGTTGATACTCCAGGGAAAACTAGAAGTGGCCCATCTAGTAGTAAACCAGTCTGCACACTGGACACTCCGATCAAATCTCGATTTTCATAGGAAGTAAGTGAAGATACTTCCAACGGTTTACCGCCTCATCGTGACTGGGTTCCTGGATTTCGGGCTGCGATGTACAGCAGAGGGATTGATCACTGAAGCAGAGCCTCCCAAGCTGAGAAAGAGCCCGGCGTTTCCATCAGGAAGTCCAGCTAAGAGTAAACCAATACGAGAGTCCACCACCGTCCTGGTGTCAAACTAGTCGCATGGTGGAAAATCGCCCTCTGGTCCACAAAGACAACGACTGCCTGTGGTGGTGACGACCTGGAGTAGACTTCGGCTTGGCTGACCTCCGGACTCCAGGGAACCAAAATGGCCAAACCAGGAACACTCCGAAAAAATGGAGACTATGCTGGGGCCGGCACAACCAACCAATGAGGACGGGTCACCCAAGTATCCAAGTAAATAAGTGAAAATAGATCAACGTGACTACGACACATCATGAAAAGTGTTTCATGCTTTGTACGTAAAACACTAAAAGAACTTCCACACTATTCTTAAGGCAACAAGGCACATCAAATTCCATACAGTCGTCTTATCAAAGAAAAAGAAGACCCATGCCGATTAAATGAGGGGAGCATCCGTTCAGAAAAGAACCTCTCTCCTCAATCTCCTCAAAAGATTAGTATCACGAAATGACTAATCACTAACTTGGGAGTGTAAGTGTGGCGTTCTACTATCACTTGAATGAAGCAATCCATAACAGAAAGTCTATAAATCTCTTGCCGGAGATTCAATGTAAGACCGGGAAAGTAGATTGAAAATGAATCGAGAAACTTGGAATATAATCCAAAATATGAATGGAAATTGTCTTTCTGGCCTATTGTTTACTAAGAAAAGCTTTCGAGCGTAACTGCCGCTGGAAATCGCCTAACGGAACAAGGTGAAGACCCATCACATGCAAAAAAAACGACATCCTGGCAGTGTTAGTACTCCGTACTGAACATCATCACTGTCTTATTGATACGAAGACCTAATTCAGTCGCAAGTAGTGATCCCGAATGAAGACTGGGTGCTGGTCACTGAAGGGCATAAACGTTGTACCAAACACAACACAGTTCTTTAAATACAGACCGCATCTCCATAACCACTAAAGATCCCCTCCGTGAGCAGAGAACTGAAGACAGAGCTAATTGCATCGCACCTAAAACCACGTAATAAACACATATTGTAAAGGATTCTTGCAGAGCCAACAACGATCCAGGATGAAAAAAAACTATAGAAAACTGTCTAAATAGGCGTATTTGGGAATCGTGAACAAACATTCCGGTATCGGTCAATGAAGTTGAATTGCCTACTACTTGCTGCCATAATATTAAATTGAAAACGGAAAAATTCTGCTATAATTTCTCCTCTTCCACTACTCCAGTTCCAGATACCACAATCTCCGACGAAAAAAAAATTAACCAAGATTCTGCCCCTAAAAACCAATTATAATCGAAAGCACGTAAAGACTCCACAGTTATAAGACCAAAAAGTACCACAATTAACTTTCTTCGAGATTGGAGCCACAAGCACAATGTACTTATGGCAGCCGACGTAATAACTCATTTTCAGAACGAAGGAATCTCTGACCATAAAGGGCGTAATACAGGTTCACCCTCTGCAAGAAGGATGACCAAAAGTATCATCTTAGCCGCTTGATGTAATTCCTAGTGTGCTCTACAAACTATTGGATAAAATTATGTTCTTGTGCACAAAAAATTTAAACGAAGCTCAGTTAGTCGAGCATGCAGACCAAACGGTTGGAAATATCAAAGAAGTCTGTCATGAATATTACCTGCACTTGTTCAAGCCGTGCGGCATAACAACTGTAGCTACGAAAACATAGTTCTTCCAGTGATCTTTCAACTTCCAGTAACGAAAATAAGTTCAATGGGTCTAAATTATTTGACCAAATCTGCTCACCGACGAAATGCAGTTTACAGCGAGTGCAACGTTCTGCTGATGACTATCACTTAGGCAGAGCTAAACTCAAGATATTGAAAGAAGCAAAGACACGACTACACATAAATCGGAAGAAAACTTGATCCGCATAAATCTACAGTGTGCAGTGCAGGTAAACAGATTAACACGGATGATCACTCTGATCACATATACCACCACATGTCTAGCAGGACATCTCGGTGATGTAATGAGAAGAACAAAGAACATCCAACTCCGTGCCCACCTTTTCGACTCCGTGAATTTTCCTACTTTAAAATACGTGTCAGAAACCCGGTCGCTACGCAAGCAGAATGAAAGATTACTCAGTGTCATAGAAATTGCAGTCGAAAGGACGATGCTAGGTGTATCCGGTACTACGCAAATGAGGGAGGAGACCCGAAGCTCTGACCTAAGTCTACAACCAAAAATCAAAGACACCGTTATGGCAAATTATTGAACATTAGGTGGGCCGGACATGTCACGTGATGAACGACAACTGAAGGACAAGAGCCGTTAGTGACTGAATTCCACGGGATGTCAAACGTACTGCAAGAAGACCACCGAGCCGAAGTTCAGAGTTCATCATTAGAACCCTTAAAAAAAGATATGATGCTCAATGAGTCCCTAGAAGGAGTAGAATCCACTGGGCACCTCCTGCATGGGACAGGGACAAATGGAAATGGAAGTTTCATTGGCGCCCGCTCAAATCATTAGACTATCAGCGAGGCTACGTATGATACAGGTGATGTATCCGAACGTTGAACCAACAAGTAGCACAGAATGTGCTGCGCTCCTGTCTTTCATAGAAGGCACCAACCAACTCGCAGGCTTAAAACTCCATTTTAACCTTTGTGACCTAGTGGTCTTCCCAGCGCTCTGCAACATAACAAACGCATGGCTTGACATGGCAGTCACATTAGAAATTCCGAGGTTGGCATGTGTTACATTCGCACATATTGCGCGAGCGGGAAACAGTAAACCGCCCATTTCTCTATGCCGCGTGCAACAGTAGCCCTCCTCGATTGCGTGTTCCATAACGTTGTGTGAACTTTCATCCTGCTAACGTAGCGACCAGGTTTCCGACGCATACGTTGAGAAAAAGAGAAACGTGGAGTCGGAAACGTGAGCATGGAGTCGACTGTTCTTCGTTCTCCTCACTACAACCTCGATGATCTTAGAAGCTCTCCAAGCCGCTAACTTCCTTCTGCACAACTCTGGAGCTAACTAGCTCATCATGTTGATTTCCCAACCGAGATAGACGTAACTAAAGCGTTCGGAGTTATTCATTCCTCTGAACCTGAATGAGGTATATGTAGCCTCTCCGTTCTACATTAACACCATTTTTCTGAGAATTAGTCGAAGACCAATCTACCAACAGGCGTTATCGCGAGATGGTATCGCCTTGCTTAACCTTTGTTTTAACGTCGATGTTAATACCGTTATAGAATGTTGACATTTTCGTTGCAAAATTCCTTACATAGCTCATGCAAAATCTTTATACACTATGGGGATTCACCATATGTCCAGGGCTTCCATGACTGCGTCATTCTCAGCTAAGTTAAAAGCTTTCTTTAAATCGATGGAAGTGAGACAAGCGGTCTCTTGTACTCTCGCGATATTTTAATAAATGTTGTTATCGTGTGGATGTGATCCATCGTACTGAACCCTTTTCGAAACCCTGCTCGTTCACATAGCTGTCCTTCGTCCAGCGTTCTGTCAATCCTGTTTAGAATGACTCGAGTGAAAAGTTTGTCGGCGACAGACAACAAGCAGATTGGGCGACAGCTGCCAATATCGTGTAGGCCACCCTTCTTGAACAATAACACGGTCTTGTTGGTCTTCCACTGAGTAGGGACCTTGCTTTCGGACAGGTAACGTGTGAAGGGCCGAGCCAGTTTGTTTATGAGAACTTGCGGTAGGTTCTTCAGATGTTTAGATCTTATCCTGTCCTTACTTGGTGTTGTGCAGTTCTTGTTCATCAACGAAATAGAATGCCGGATTTCAGATGGGAGAAGCGCCTGTCTTCAATGTCTTGCAAGTTCGGGAATGAGTGGGCAGATGCCCGTGGATCGCGTCGCACACACACGCTTGCTCGAGTATTTCTGAAGACAGATGTCCCTTGATTATTTTGAAAATTTCAGCTTTCATAGCGCTAACTTGAAGATCTCGAATGATCCGATCGTAATCCTCGTCGATGTTATCAAGAATGGATCTTCCCAACAGCCAACTAATGAACTGAATAAATTCCAGTTTATGGTGATTTTTCGACTTCGTTTTTGTACTGAGCGGCTTTCTCTCTTTTACGTGCGAAATGAAATCTTATGGTGAAATGGTATCGATCCATATCTCTTCAATCGAAAACGTCCAATTCGGGTTGTTAGCTATTCAAATATATCAACATCAGTGCCCAAACTCGTGTTAACGAGAACGCCGACGCCATCGACTCCTACACTTTCGTTTGTTCCAGTGAACAGTTCTTCTCCGTGTCGTAGACGGCGTTGAAAGGGTGGTATTGTCTAATTCCGGGCAGGCGGGCCGATGGCGTCGTACCTTTTCCTACTTCCTTGCATGATCACGTCTTCTATCGAGGAGACAGTTGCACGTATGCTTGCACTACACGCAGGTACAGATCGTCACCTTAGTCCTTTGCAATTTAGGCAGCTTAGGATGGCAATGAGATTTTAGCAGCTTCTCCGTACTCGCTTCTTTCGGGATCAGGGAAACACAGCCCGTTTATTTTACTGTGCTTAGCTTTTTGACACCCAGTTTGCTCTGAACGTGGGAGCTAGGTACACTCACAGGTAACTTGCCAGTCTCTCCCAGAATAGACATGGAGCTTATTTGCTGGAGGCGACTTCTAACCGCCTTCCACTTATCTCCCTGTCATTAAATCGCAGGCTTTTGGTAGAATTAACTCTTGGGGTACAATCCGCATAACCCAAGCACGCATGCACAAATACGTTCTCGACACAGACGGTATGTGCCAAATAAGCGATACATCTCAGTGGATCAAAAGGTCGTTTTTGACCCGCTATTAACCTATCCGCCACCTACGGACGCGTCCCGTTGCCTTACGACTAACCAGCATGAGATCTTTGCATGAGGGAGATCTGTGGCTGTTGTTATCGAAAATCATACGTAGACAAACTTATTTTTTTGGATACTTGGATGGCCCATCCTCACTGGTTGTACGGATCCCAGCACAATTTCCATTTTTTTCGAAGTTCTGATTTAGCAATTGTTTCCGTGGAGTTCCGAGGTCAACCAGGCCAAAGTCTGTTCCAGCTCGTCACCACCAGAGGAAGTCCCTGGTCCCTGCCGTTGTAGATCAGAGGGAGATTTGCCACCATGCGACTAGTTTGATACTTGGTAGTTTGGAGAGATGTGGAATAGAAAGTAAAACTGGTTCTGGGAGGGTGGTAGCCAGTTGGTTAGTGACATAGTCCATTAGGAGGCATGTAATGGTTTGGCATCTCACCAACACTCTCTCCTAGTCAACAATGGGAGCACCTTAGGTCGGCTATCCCCAAGAATTCAAGGCAAATTGACCAGCACTCCACGACATTCATAAAGAATACGAAACCCTCAAACAGCAGTTGAAACAACACGCGAAATGATCGAGGGCCCTTGTGAACGATGAAGCAAGGAAGATGAATTGAATTCAAGAAATTACGGGATCCGCACAGATGTAATGACGGGCCATGTAAAAGAAATTTGTTGTTACTACCGAATTACGATAACAAGAGCTAAACAAGGCCTTGAAAGTGCGTTTGTAAAAAAAAAAATTTGCAATTTTTGCTTCACTCTCATCAATGTTTCCCTCTCAATGTATATATTTTCCTTATACGATGCAGGACTTCTGGACCTTTTCTAGGCAATTCGTTATACCTGCAGCTTAGTCCATATGATTTACAGATCGCACGCTTTCCTGTGTCATTGTTCTTTAGTCTAGCCAGCGTTTCCGTGGTTTTCTCGACATATTTCTAAAGATAATAATGCTAAGCAAAACGGATTTCGAAAAAAGTCAACAGCTTGAACAAAACATTTAAACAATGTAAATTTATCGCTAGCAAGTATGAAAATAAGAAGAACATAAGCATTTTTAGATTTGGAATATGATAACTGAGAAAATGGAACTCTATTACTACTCACCTTCTGCGTCCATTCATCTGAGCCGTTGCTTAGATCCCACACAATTAAGTACCCTATAATTCACCACTATTTTCAAAAAACAAAACTATTTGCATGTAATTGACCAGAACGACTTTCTATTGACCTCGGCATTAATCAAATAATTCGCAATATTATATTTGTCACTCAGACAAAAGACCACCTTAGCTCGACAAGAAATGTGTATACGTATATATATATACATATATATATGTATTTACATGTATCCAAACGTATACACATGCATATATATATATATATTTAAGCGCATGCATATAAACGTATAATATACATATGTATATACGTATGTACATATACATGAACATACATATTTATATATGTGCATGCACTTATATATATATATATATATATACAACGCACAGATGTATTTCCGAAAAGTACATGCGTCTCACTTTTTAAGGGCCTTTTCTCCCACAATTTGGTTGGTTTTGTTATTCAGAGCTACCAAGTCGTATCCACATCCACTGATATAGTGTGCTTCGTGAAAAGTGGAAAAATGAAGGACATGATGTGAAGTGAAACCAGTTGCTTTCAGAAGTTTAATACCAGACCGATGAGCTAAATTATCACGAACAGGATTACTCATGGCTCCTTAACAATGGAATTAAAAATGCTACATAATTTATTGGAAATTCCCGGTGCCGAGGGTAAAGAACTAAGAAATCATTGAACTGAACTAGCTGTGCCATTAACTCAGATAATATCGATGATGGTAATATCGATTACCTGTACCATCCGTAAACTATGGCATGTTAGCACTGATGAGTACAATGAAGCTATTGGGAAGATTTAACGCAAACCTTGTTTCTTAACGGTGTTCTTGAGTTGCGAAAGGGAACCACAAGAAACAATGTGCGAGAAAAAAAAACAAAGAGTATCGCGCGACGTCTATACTTTTCGGCAATCACCAGAATTAATGGGAAATGCGTTAGAGCCAATATGATTAATGGTGAAGACGGATCACGCAAACGATGATGAAATAAATAAAATACCTCGATTTGTTATACCAGCAAGAGTATTCGCTAATGGATGAATAGCAAGGCTTGTTACAAATTCTTGATAAGAAAGTGGAGGCATAGGCATTTGAATATGCCCATCTCGACGTAGATCCCAAATATACACTTGGCCTAAACATGCAGAATTAAGCGGAAGACTATCACTATATTAAACGACTGCGTACTGTGAAGTAACATCCTTTCATTATAAACTCGGAGCGCTTTGAATTTATATAAGTTCATACGATGTATGCGAACAATGTAGAATAGTAACACAGAGAATATAGAACTAGCTGAGAGAAAGGGAAAACGAAGGACCAGCATGGTGTGGTGGTGAACGCGTTAGCTCCCAGAAAGTGTACTAGCGTGTTCGATTCCCACCGCAGAAACCGGCGGTCCGGAGTTTTGCACATATCTCAGCATCATTGTAATATACAGTATTTCTGAATATCTTAATACTTAATTTCCTAAAATGGTTTATTTTGTTTGCAAGAAAAGAACGTCCACACAAACCAGCTTGATCAGCAATGAAAAGTTCCACTTGATTCCCATGAATAACTACACTGGTTACTGGATCCAGATTCTATAGAAAGGAAATAAGTTCATACTGCTACGTGCACATCTCCTTAAAGGAGGCAAAAATGACGAATAACGAAAACCACTTTGACAAACTCACATCAAACACCCTTTGGCAAACTAGTTGATTTACTCGCATTTCATAAACTCGACAAGAATGATCTTCACCTCCAGTGTACATCCATCGACTTTGGGCCTAAAATTCTTGTTTGTATTTCTGAAATACGCTTATAGACTAATTTTGATAGTACAAACGTAGTAGTTCAGAGTCTTTAACTGAAAAAGTGAACGTTTTCTAACGAGATCACTACAAATCATTTGTTTTGACGATTAGGAGGTTGTGTACCAAATAAATAAGTCGACTATGTCCGTAATAAGAAGGACGAAACAACTCGCAATACCACACTTTCCGAAAGAAATAATTACAACCTAAACTTGTTTGTAGTAATATACGTAAGCGATACGATAACAAGACAAGGGGATAAATTAAAATGAATGAAATTTGTAGGCTTATAAAACGACGTAAAAAAATGTCTCGCACCAGTGCTGCTGTCCTCTCAGACAAGTCCGGTACCAATTTGCCGGCACGGAGGTAAGGAGGGCTTGATGGACGAGTAGGCGCTGGAACAGATCCCATGTGCACTGCGTGGCGCCTCCGACCACCGCGGTACATGCGCCCATGCGCGTCCATACACCTCCAAACGATGCATAATGAAGTCCAACGCATGGTACATCCCTAAGGGATTGATCAACGCCGATGAGCTTTTTTTAAACTATAGAACGACGTTCCTCCCAACGGTTTGCCGCCCATCGTGGGTGGGAGGTGTTCCTGGATGTCGGACTGCAATGTACAGCGGTGGGATTCGTCACCCGCCAGGGTCTACTGAGCTGAGGAGTCCGGCGTTCCCAACAGGGAGCCTAGCTAAGAGTAAGCCAATATCAGGATCCACCACCATCTTGGTATCAAAGTCGCACGGTGGCAAATCCTCTTCTGGTCCACAAGGGCTACGACTGCCTGTCCTGGTGACGACCTGGGGCAGACTTTGGCCAGGCTAACCTCGGGATTCCAGGGAACCACAATGGTTTAACTAGCAAATCTCCGAGAAATGATGACTATACTGGTGCCCGCACAACTAGTGAGGACGGGCCGTTCAAGTGAGTAAATAAGCAAAAACGATGTTCATGATGAAATTCTACCTCGAATCCAATTGCCGTTACGTTTTTCATGATTTGCTCGAAGCAGACAATGGGACTTATGTGGTTAGCTGGTTTCAGCGATGTCATGTCATATATTTTCAGCTTCTGAAACGCAGCAATAGCAAGTTGGTATCCATTCGGAGTGAAAGCCATCGCATTGACCTTAAACAATCACAAATTTAAGACGATAAATATAACATGGAGCACACACCTGCATTGAAATATAGGTAAATAGGCAATTCTTTGGACATTGTATCCTTCTCCCTTACATTACGCAAATTGCTTAATATGTAAGAATCCGACATACCGAATATAAACCGCATCACCTTTAAAAAATAAAGAAAAAGTAGGCACCTGTGAATCAGAATGCGGAATTGTTGCCACATGCTTGCTCGATCCGACGTCCCAAATGCGAATAGTTTGATCATAAGAAGCTGAAGCCATAAGGCTGTGTCCATCCATTATCTCTGGATGATTTAGACGTTGATTATTTAAGCTGATGTACCACGTACTAATCCACTAACAATTAATAACGCTCTCAACAGAGATTCCTGACAATGTACCTTAACGTACATGCTCCCATAATCAAAGTAATCACTCATTCCACTGGACTGTCTGGTTGTAACTGCACATAGTTTACGTACCTCAACTCTCTTCGCATTCAATTAGCTACCACTAGGTTACGACAATTCTGATGTATTTTGCGTTTTAGTGTATATCTACAGGTCCAATGATCGATAGGGACTTTTTAAAACGCAAAGAAATGTAGTACACTGATTCTTTCTTGGAAGTTAAAAGAACTAAAGTAGAGCTACTTAATACCAAATCAAAGGCATAAGCTCTAACATGTCGATGAATTCATGCGTCAAAACATAACTTTAATAACGAAGGGAACCGTATCCCACTCACATTTGCAAAACAATGGCCGTTTCCCAGTCTAACCTTTTCACGACCGTATATCTTGATTTCAATGCGAACCTCAGCTAAGCTCCAATGACACGCCGTCCGATGAGCGAGTCGCGTGAAAATATCCACGGCTGTGTAAGGGTTGAATCTCTTGTGGTGTAAGATCTTTTTAGTGCACAAGGTTGACCAAAACTGCTTCGCTTTCAATACTTCCACGTAGATACATTACTCTTTAATCACATAAAAACCTTCAGATCCTTTGTAGTCAATCGATGGCTTGTCAAACACAAATTTTGTGCTGGGGTTGGTTCATGAACACGTATTCTCAGCTACACTTGCAAAAAGCCGTTTCGGATGGTGTTAATGGAATCGGTGGATGTAAAAAAAACACAAAAGAGACACGGAAATATACCTCGACTACAAAAGAAGCATACTAAAAGGTAATAACACCATGGTTAGACAATGGACAAGTTTTTATTTCATCGAACAGAAAGGTTAGATCGGAAGCAAGAGGCGTTCAAGAACATAGAAACATAAGCAGCAGACCATATCAGGTATGTAAAAGCTAGAGAGACACGGAAGAAATTTGAGGGCAGCAAACATTAGGACAATAATGTCGAGAAACCACTGAGTCCCACCTCTTGCGCAGACTTACGGACCGTTCATCTTCATTTCAATGCACATCTCATTCGCATTGCGTGACATGCGATCGTGGAATGCTCAACCCAACATACCACAGTTTAGTTTGCCAATAATGTACAAAATCTCCCATTCTCGCAATAAGAAATTATCCCAAAATGTCCAGAACTCGTACTTTTGTCACTGTTTTAGTCGGGACTCGTCTCTCGAAAATAAAATCAGTTGAACAAACGTTATTTCGTCCATTGGAATACCATGACGCCTCAAAAGCGCGGCTGATGTTTATGGCTACAATAACTTACTAAATTCACTTGGATGGTTGGATGGCCCATCTTCACTAGTAGTGCGGGCCACAGCAAACACTCCATTTCTTCGGAGTTTTGCTGAACAAGCTGTAGTAGCTCCCTCGAGTCTCGAGGTTAGCCTAACCAAAGTCTACCCCAGGTCGTCATCATCGCAGGCAGTCGCCGCCCCTGTAGATCAGAGTGAAATCTGCCACTATGCGACTAGCTCGATACCAGGACGGTGGTGGATCCTGGTACTGGTTTAGTCCTCGCTGGTATTCCTCATTGAAACGCCGAATTCCTTTTCAGTTTGGGAGACCCGGCTAAGGAGATGAATTGTCCCGCTGTACATCGCAGCCCAACACCCAGGAACACCTTCCACGCACGATGAGGCAGTAAACTGTTGGGAGGATAGCCTATTACAGAAACTCAAAATCTACTTTCATATCTATTGGAAATTTCTATTCTGAACAACTTCACAAATCACATAACAGCCCTAAAGAAGCGCATCTACTCCTTAAGAAATTTAGGAAAGTTTCTTCTATAAACCGACCGACCACGTTTTCAACTGCACAACTATTCATCTAGATCTGGAATTTGTAAGTAGCATGCGAACAAATAGCTTCCGAACCTAATTGTTAAGAAAGGTTCTGAAAATACAATACATTAGGGACCTACCTAGATAGAATGGATTTTAAAACTCATAACATGCTAAGAATTGATCATAGCACCTATGAATACCTCTATTCGATTTCATTACTTCAGCACCACAGTATATGTATCAAGAACGGTCCAGAAACCTCTTTATATAACCGAAATCTTGTACCAAGTAAGAGAATCGACTATGACGAGCAAGTTACACACCTAGTGTTCTTAGCATTTAATATTTAAAAGTACAATAATGTGATATGACATGATCACAGCTGTATACGGTGACCTTGAGTACGACCAGTTTTATATACAAACAGAAATTTAGTAAAATACTTTAAAAACAGAGATACTGCCAAAGTATGAATGCAAGTGATAAACTGATTAGTGAACTAGTATGAATAAAGTGGACTATAACAAGAGGCGATTCCATTATTATTAAGTGATTCCCTCGAAGTGGAAGGGAAGTGAACCGGAAACCCATAGGGCGTAAGAGCACAACATTGCGAGTGTGTGGTTAGTCTGTATAACATGACAACGAGGTAAAAGTGTAGTTATGAAGAACATTGTTAAATTCGTTACAAAGAAAGAAAAATAAGATGAAAAATTAGTGGTTATGCACAACACAGATACTCAAGTTAATCGATCGCTAATCGTTTAAGGAAGAAAAGAACGAAGGTGTGTGTTAGGTACAACTTCCGATGGACTTCATAAAAGCTCTAACTAATTTATGCTGCTTGAATGACTAAGAGATGGTTGGTGACGTATCTTCGAAGACACACGTGAGATGGGATTGGAACCCTGTGATGCCATTACTCTTTGCAGTATGCTAACCCACTGATTGCATTCTTCCTTCGTCAATGCCATTAGGAGCCATTCCCGAACAATCCCAGTGTCTAAAAAATGATGTACATACTTATGCCTGAGTTTTCGCTATTGAAATAAACGACGTAATATCCTTTCGGATTAATCCAACTGAAATAGCTAGACTAGCAATTAAAAACTGTTATAAACGATCAATTTCTCACTAAACCATGAAGCTAAATAAGAATAAATGGAAAGAATAGACTTACATTTACACACAGTCAGCTGAGATGAGTTCACGTGATCTTTATGAATTTTCAAGCGGCAGTCTGAATACGGTCCATTACAATACGAATTATATTTAAAAGACACAAGACACTTCTAAAGTGAAAAGTAAGAATATTGTGTATAACAAACTTTTGCACTCATATGCTGGTGGTGGTCGAACTAGATCTGATAGCTTCTTGTTGCAGATATCACAGTATGTGCTCATATGGAAAGCAAGTTCTTGGAAGTCATGACTCTTCCACGATTCCTAAAGATTATTCATATATAGACCAAGCACAGTTTAAAATAAAATAAGAAATAAGAAAATTATAGCGAATCATGAATAAGCTTACATCTTTCTGTGAAACTGCAGTGATACTTAAATCGTTCGTTGAGGCATTTCGACTCGTTGAACCACTGTCCCGATCATCGAACATTATCTATACGAAAATATAAGCAAAGTTATATACAAAGGTATAATACTCGTTTATGTCCACAGGGTGTTGAGATATGAGCAAGACTGGCAACCTCATGTGCTCATCGGCATCGAGTGAATGCTGACGTACCCAAAAAGTAAAAAGATGGTTGGAGAAAGCATATTAAAGACCTCGGTTGGCGTGGTAGATAGTACGCTGGCGTTCGGTAAGAGTAGTAAGGGTACTCGCTGGTTCGAAATCCAACTGAAGTACCGAACATTGCTCATATCTCAGCACACATATGGTTGTATTTCACGTCGTACCCAGCCATGAAAAAGAATAGGCAGCAGATTAAATTTATTTCCATACACATATGTACATGGATATATATATATATATATATATATATATATAACAGAGATCTAACACAACGATATTAACATAATCGCGAAGATCTGCGTAATTCAATATACATGTGAGGAAGAAACTACACGATCTCCGTCCGTTACGTTTTTTTTTATTTCTCTCTCCGTTATTTCAAGGCGTTACATACCAGAATGTTTCTTCATATGTACAAACCAATTTTGCGATACTTTGTGTACGAACATTTTTCTACAAATTCTGAACCGAAGGACAACGTGTACCGTACACAGCAACATTTACAAAAGACAGTTTTTTGGCACGCGAAAAAACCCCTTCTCAAAAACCAGAAAAAAATAACAACAGCAAAATAACAATAACGTAACTTACATGGAATATCCTCCGAATCTGCTCAGCATCAGCTACACGAACATCAGCTGCAGTTACTAGACGTACGTGACAGAGTTGGCTAGAACGGTTTGTGATTTAAAGATACTAGAATTTGAAAAACAACAAAATAAAAATAAACGAACCGAGTATCTAACGACATAACCGCGGTCGAATGAGGTTTCTCGTCCGGGAACAACTGTAGGGCTACATGATTAAGCACAGCATAGTAGTTGACCCACTAAAATTTCACTTTTACTACCTCAATTGAATCCATTCCGGCCAGCTACCGTATTTCTTGACTGGACCAACGGACTACGCGCAATTTTTGGTCGGTCGCAGCCTTCCTGATTCTTTTTTTGACAACGGAAAGATGTTTTCCTAATAATTTGAGTACTTGGGAGGTTCTGAACACGAAAGGACTGTAGAAAAAACTTTTCTTTGTAGTTCTACGGGTATAAATGATACGTATGCTAGCATTATTGTGTGTTACTATAGTCCATTATGCAAACACACTGTTCTCTGCATTTTAAAGTACTTTACAGCTCATGTCGAGTCCATTTCGGTATTTTTTATACCCAGGCATTCCATAAAATAACCATGATTCATCATAGGGATTAAACCAAATAACAGCTGTTAGTCAAATTACCGGTTTGTGCACTTCTCGAAAAAAAAGTTTTTTGTAAATCATTAAGTGCAGAAAATGGCTTTTCTGGTCCCACCCGTACTATTTTAATCTGCTTTCGATTAG